TTTTCAGATTAATTTTGGTAGAAATGAGTGGGCCAAAAATTGAGTCTTTACCAAGAACTGGACTTGATGGTTTGACTGCAGGGACCCAAGGCAGAAAAAAATGGAGCCTCTGTTTGGTCTGTGCGAGATGTCACTGCCCTCTTCATGACAGGGAGTGAGGGGAATGTACCCCAGTGTGTATCAAGCCTTTGAGCTCACAGTTTGGGGAAAATTGCACCCTAAAAATGCCTCCTGATCTGGTAAAGTCAGAAGTGGCAGCACCACTTTGTGTGGCTGTGGATTTGCTTTGAATCCATACAAGTATTACAGGTAAAAAACCCCATGTTTTTACCCAAGGCCTGAATTGCCCACCCAGACTGTGGGGGTTGTTTGACATAGGAGGGTTTTTCTTTACACACAGATATAGTCCCAGCACATTCTCTACAGCTGTTCCCAAAAATTCCATATCTTTCAGCATCAGTTTTCAGATTAGCTGGGTGAAGATAGTACTGGGAAATAGAAAACCAGATCAGAGTCTGCTAGGAGCTCTCAAAAATTAGCCACCTCAGAAGTATTTACTTTTTGATGTACTTCTAAAGGTTCATAAAACAAAACATTTTCCACTGATTTTTTCCCACCTTGTTCTCCTACTCTTAAGAAACAATTCAAAAAGCCAAAAGAAAAGCCCTGTAGTCATGGAGTAGGGACTGATTCATTAGATGGGGTCAGATGCATGGAGAAGTTAGACTCAAATAAGAAGGAAAAGCAGATGGTTATCTGCAATAAATATGACACTTGCACAGGGAGCAGTTGAGAAGGTTCTTTTATTAACCTTTTCCACATAAAAGTTTTACTTGTTCAAAATATTGATATTTTAATATAATATTAATATTTTAATATTAATATTTTAAAATTTAAAATATTTTTAAAAGGGATTTAAAACAACAAGGGCTTTTGATATATTTTGCAATAATAAGTTCTGAGACAAATGACACCCATGGTTTATGCTGCCAGTATGAACATCAGGAAAGAAGACTGAGCAATATCCCGATATCACCAGCAGAAAGGTGGTTGGACATCAGAAAGAGCTGCTCAGGGAGGTGGTAGAGTGACCATCCCTGGAGGTATTGTGGTATCTGGTCAAAGTTTGGACTCTATGATCTCAGAGATCTTTTCCAACTTTATTCATTCTGGGATTCTGTACATTCGTTTTTCTGGCTCAGGGCTAAATCTGGTGGAAGTGTAATAAAATGTTATTTTCTTATATGCAATCCAAACCCATGGAAAGTTCAAACAACTCAAAAAGCCACAGGTCCTGATTTCTGCCTTCAGGAGGAGCTATTTCTTCAGTAATAAGAGAGCTGCATTTTAATGGTTTTGATTCTGCTCAGAACCCTGCTCAGAATGATAAAGCTCTGTTTCTTTGCTGAGCTTCCATGCAACTGAGTGGGAAACAGCACAGGGGGAAAAACATGCACTGTGACAGAGCAGGGTGGCAGCAGTTGCATTTTCTAGTGATAAACCCACCTGTAACAAACATGTAGTGTGTGTTTTTCTGAAATGGTGCCTACTTGAGTGAATGCTAAAAGGGGCTCTCATCCTCCAGATCCAGGCAGGTGGGAATGAAGAAGAAAAAGAGACAGGAGGATTATTTTCTGACAAACAAGCTTATCTTCGATGGGCACTGTAAAATTAAACCCAGTTAAACTGGCATGCTCCTAGCAGCACACTCTGCTCTGCTGGAAAGTTGCTTTTAGCAGCCACAGATCCTTGGTATCCACAAAATTAAAATAAGAAAGTACACGGTTGTCAGAAAGCTTAAATCATCACAGGGGTGTCAATAAACTGAGCAAACTGAAAACCTTTCTGTCTATGATAATTCTGACTACTCCAAGTGCAAACAGGACATAATCATTGCAGATTATTCTGACCTGAGCCACCTTTCTGGGGAAGAGATGGCAGAGGGAATGGAGGGCAGGGAAATGAGGAGCATCTGTGCAATGAATCCTGCTCTCACCGTGGGAAGGGCAGTCACGATCTGCTGCAGGAAAAGGATGAGGTGACAGCAGTGTCACTTAAGGGGTGAGGGACCTTCAGCACAGCCAAAGCACTGAGGAGTGCTGCTTTTGTTGGGACGATGATGATCCTGCTGTCAGAGCAGAGGGCATCGAATTCCCCTCTAGAGGAGGGTCTGGACATGAGAAAGCAAGAAGCCAGTGGTTCACATGGAATGAGCACAGTGGTTCAGGCAAAATGAGCACATGGAGAAAGTGCAGCATAAAAGGACTTGAATAACAAGGACAGTAATGGATGTTATCTAGATGGTGAAGGTGGAGGTCATAAACTCATTTGTGGTTTTTGTTGCTGATGAAGACTCCTCTGTGTTCATCCCCTTGTACCAATTCCATTTCCATGGTAACAATCATATCATCTACCTGAACTGGAAGTCAATGCCCTCTTTCATGCAGCCTTGTCATGGCTGTCTCCTGCCTCCTGACAGTCCTTTGTCCTTGCCTTTTGGAGGCTGCTGTCTTGGAGCAGATTATTCAGTAGAGATATTTGTCATTCTTTCCTTTCTCTTTCTGAACAGACAGTCTTTGGTGTTTTTTTGCCCTTTGTCATGCGGGAGTTAACCAAATGTCTCTTCTGACTTTCTGAAAAATACCTGCTTGTGTGCTATCAGTTATGAAAATTAATGAAATCATATATATTTCAGAGATTACTAGGAAGTTGGAGGAGAATGCCTGCCACCTTTTTCTTACAAGAATGTTCACTGATCAGCAGAGCAGACGTGACTCCCTCACCTGTCACTGGTGCTGTAAGCCCAGAGATGCTGCTGCCACTGCAGCCCACAAAATTCCTGTGCTACCCCAACCCACAGCTTGTTTCCTAGAGCAGACGTGACTCCCTCACCTGTCACTGGTGCTGTAAGCCCAGAGATGCTGCTGCCACTGCTACCCCAACCCACAGCCTGTTTCCCAGCTTATTCCCTGCTGCAGGACCAGTGGCCTGGTCTGTGTTGTGCTCCAGGAAGAGTGTGAGCAATGCTGCAGTGATATAAGTTCATTTTTGTCTTTGTCACAGCCAAGGTGAAATGTAGGCAGTGAAACTCCTGGATGAGCACAGGAATGGGACACCAAAATATCCATGGGGAGTGAGAAAAACAAAAGCAGCTCCAGAGTTAATCTTAAAACTATAAAACAGAGCAAGAGTGAACCTCAGACTGAAAAGTGCTCCCCCTTCTCCACCTCCAGGGACTTTCCTCAGTGCCTCCCACAGACTCCTCCTGTGGTGCTGGCACAGTGGCCCCAAGGATGCCAGCTCCTGTCCTGCCCTGTCCTTGGGGCTCCATGCAGGGGACATGGGGTGTCCTCATGCTCCTGGCACAGAGCCATGGGGAAGCAGGGCCCAGGCAGGGTTTGACAATGAGCAGTTCTTTTACAGAGTGCTGGGAGCTCTTGTGCAGGCTGGCTCTGCCTCACTTTGTTGCTGATGGGATGTCTGGGTGCTCCACCCCCTCTTGGGCTTTAATTCATCATGAAATTTGGATTTCCAGGGCAGCAAGGCTCAAAGAAAACCCTGCCTGAACTTTTGAGGATTGCACATTGAAATCTTTCTATAGAATAATGACATGGGCTTCCTCTGCTGAGTAACAGTGTGGCCCAACGCACATCCAAAGAAACCCATTTCTAAAAAGCAGATTCAATCTCTATTTACACTCAAAGACTTTATTTCTTAAATAAAGAAAGTTAAACATCCTTTCCAGTAAAAGTTCTCACAGAGGTGGCTGATACCACTTTGCATTTCCATGTTTGTGATTTTACAGAGGAGGGATAAAAGGCCAAATATTGCCTTTAAGCCAGGAAAGCAGTGCCAGCCCACCTCCCTTGCAGCCTGAGGGTGTCTGTGGCTGTGCTGTGACACAGGAGCAGTGCTCCAGTCACCAGCCCTGCTCAGAATGACAAAGCTCCTTCTGCTGAAGGCAGTGTCACTGGTGCAGCCCAGCAGTCTATATACTCCTAATTGTACTCTGGAACCCCTTTTCAAATCATTCCCTGATGTCTGGCTGTTCTCTGGAAGCTATTTTTAAACAGAACAACAGCTCTCTCAGAGTAATGAACAAAATGGGTTTTCTGTTGCAACAGCTGTGGATTGCTTTTCAAGTACCATTATTTGTGGTTTTTCAGAGGGGATTTTTTTAGGTGTGTTTGTTTGTTTGTTTGTTTGCTATTAGACATGCAGCTGTCATTAAAATGAATTAAAAAATACAGTCTATACCTGTATTTCACATTAAAAGCCTTTCTTTTTAAAACATTATTTAACATTTTTAACATTATTTTTGAAACAAAAATACCTGGACAAACCCCAGACTGAGCAGTGCCATGCCCTCACCTGCACTGTGGTGCTCATCTGAGCCACCTTTTCCTGGATGTGGAGGATAGGATGAGAAAGGTTCTGCTATAGTCAATGGAAGTGACTTGAAACATTGGGGAAAATGCCTCACAAGTGCATGCTGAAAGACACCTAATGAGAAAAACACCAGAGTGACATGTAAAACCTTTAAAAGTAGTGTGTGATACAGAAGAGTTCACCTAGGAACATTCCTTCTGACACACAAACAGTGATCTGCTCTAAAAGTAGTGAGAAGTGGTGACTTGAAGCTGAAAAAAAGTGAATATTTGGCTGCAGCTAATGTACTAGCAGGATCCACAGTGGTCTGTACAGCTGTATGGATAAGAAGTGTGGAATTTTCATGGCATACTCTAGAAGTTCAATGAATAGGAGTGGTAAAATAAACCTCTCCTGTAAAAACTGATATCTAATTTCTCTGGAAGCATGTGATTTTATATAGCTTACTAGAAGGCTTTCTATAGTGATCTTCAGAGTAGTAAAGGTTGTCAAACTGTGTTTTGGACAGGAAGGATTTCTGATTTGATTTCCATGGCATTGAAACAGAAAACATAGTTTCAATAGAAAGAGAATGTGTCAGAAATGGGCTATTTTTTTTTTTAAATTAACCTTAGACTTTAATTTGGAGGCAGGGGGAGATGGGTTGTGCATGTGTGGTGTTTAGTCATTGTGTAATTTATATTAATTCAGTCTTCACCTCTTCTTTATTGGGCATTAAGGTTACTGGGTGCATAAGTCTTAAGTTATGTAAAATGTATGAATGTTGTAACAGCTGGGAATAATGTAATTGTAATACACATTAAAAGGCTGTGTTGGCCTGGGACTGGTGGCTTTTAGGTCTGCTTGAAAAGCTGCTAAAGGTTTTAAACTTTCTGCTCTGTGTGAAGTTTGTAAATGATCTGGGATCCATCACCCCAAGCGAAGAGCTGCTTTTCTTTAGGATTGTAGTGTATGGTGGAGTGGCCACCCTGGCGTTTTGGGAAGTGCAGCCCTGGGTTTGTGTGAGCATTCAGAGCACCCAAAACATCATAGACACACTGGATGCGGGAGGAGCCCCCAGAAGGAGAGTTGTAGACCACGTGGAGGGTGTTGCAGGCCATGAAAGCTGCCTCAGCATCCCGGCTGCTGCAGGGCGTGTCCCAGCTGTGCTCCACGGCCATGGCTGCGGGGTTGATTTTGGTGAGGACGATGTTCCCCCCGGTCTCTGGTTCTGCGTGGAGGGCCCACAGCCCCTGCTCGTCGAGAGCCAGGTCTATTTTTGTCTGTGGAGAGAGCTGGTAGGCAGGAATCCTCCCAGCCCCTGGCAGCAGCATCTGGTCAGCCACCTTTCTTCTCTGGATGTTGAGTTTCACTATCTCGTTCAAGGAGCCGTGTCTGTGGTAGAAGAGGAAGCCCTGATAGATGACGTGGCCAGTTCCTTCCCAGGGCAGTGGCAAGGGGACTCTGCGAGCCTTCAGAGTCTGGTTATTTTCCATGAAAGACATGATATTGGCAAATTCCAAAATCACATTATTTACAGAGCCACTTAGCAAATAAATCTTCCCGTGCTTTTTGCCAGGATCTTTCATCCAAGAGCCATGCTTCCCTCCAGTCTTCTTAACTACCTTCAGGGACCTAATACCTGCAAGCATGTGGTCACAACCTGCAAGGAAATAACCAAAGACAAAGAAAATTAGAATATCTCTAAGTTTTCTAGTTTCCTTTCTTTGAATTACTTAGTTTCCTTTTAATTCATCTCTGAGGCCTGAGTGAATATGTCAGTAAAGGTGTCAGCAGTGTGGCTATGGTAAGTAGTGCTGAAAATAGTTTTGTGTGATATTATATTTTAATAATACTATAATGTATTTGAATATAAAATACCAATATAATAATATATAATGTATCATAAACAACATATTAAAATATATAATGTATCATGTATAATAATATATTCTATAATGATTATACACTAATATATAATATGTAGTAATATATAATACATTTGAATAATATAATTATATTATTATATTATTATTATATATTCCTGCTAAGAAAATTGTAGTATCTTCATCTACCTGTAGAGTGTTGGGTTTTGTTCTATTACACCAGTGTTATCCAAAACATTTGGGTATTTGTGTGTCTGAGAGGAGACCAATGCACCATTAGTCACTTTGTGATTATTCTTGTCTGTCCTTTTGCAGGGCTGTAATTCTTACTTCAGAGAACTGACTTCTGGTTTAGATCAACACAGTAATCAGATTTATTTCTTGCTGGAGGCATACAAATGAAAATCCATTATCCACATGTATGTTATTTTTGTTTCAGGACTGGTCTTATTCTCACATAGCCTTTTTTAAAATGCATTCATAGTATAAATAGAAACAAAAAGACATCAGCATAACTGAAAGCCAAAAAACTGGGCTATCTTCCCATTCACCTTCCCAACACCTGCACACAAAGGAACAAGAACAGAAAACAGATCACACAGCCAGGTGGGTGCATGCACTGAGGTGGCCTTGGAAGGAGCTGGTGTGATGTCTGTGCTGCCAGTTCCTGTGCCAGGAGCGTGGCTGGTGGAACCACCCAGCTCTTCACCTCACTCTAGGGTTAAAACTGGCCTCGAGTCACAGCTCTGGCTTCTTCACATTTTGTGCACACTCTGCAGGGATGTTTCAGACCAGAAAGCACCAAGTCTGGGAGGACACAGGCATTCAGACTCTGAGATCTTTATCAGCATCCTTTCCAGGAAAAAAACGATTGCAAAGCGTATTAACAAGCTTGTTTACCAAAGGCGCTCATAAATTACAGGGTGCAGCATTTGAAGTTGAAAGAATTGCTTTCAGAGGAGCGCAGCCATTTCAGTAAACAGGACAAACAAAGCTCTAAGGCAGGAAGTCCTGGCAGCAGATGAAATGGAGAAAGCAAAACCAGCCCCCCTGTTTGGCCTGATACAAACCTATTGAAGTCAGTGGCAAGACTCCAGTTGCATGTAGAAAGCAATCTTTATGTAATTTGTGTGCACTGATACCCTCTAATCAGAGCTTTTGGATATTGCTGCTACAGAGTGGATTTTTTTTTCCTGGGAGTCCTCACTCTGGAAGTGCCTTCCCTGAGCAAGCCACAACAGCTCTCTCAAATCTAACATTTATTGATTAGATAGATTAAAAAATAAATTAAAGCTGCTGAATCAAAAACTCTAGGCAGCCATAGCAGCATCTTCCTCTGCAGGGGAAATTACCAGATTTTTGTTTGATTGTCATTTTCTGTGCGAATTTGACCCAAACCCAGTAACAAAGCTGGACTTAAAAACCCTCTCTTCTAGGGTTTTTGAGGTGACTCAGCAAAAATAGATTTTTGAAGAGACTCAGCAAAAATAATTAGAGTCTGGTTAAGACATGACAGCATAGAAGCAGAACTGCTATTTTCTAGAGCTGAGGATCTTCCTACTTTTTCTAAGTGCTGTAAATTCTGCACAGGGAATACTTTTGACATCAAATTCAATGGGAAAATCATCTGACTAGTACTGACAGTAGGGAACAAATTGAAAATAAAGTTACCATGAGCTGCTACAATAAAGTTAAAAGTAATAATTTTCACCAAAGGAAAATGGAAAGTAATTTTTTCCCCTCTGAAACTTTCAGAAAGATACAATTTTCAAAGTGCCTTAACCACAGTCAATTTAAAAATCCTTGATTTTTTTTTTCTCTCTGAAAAAAATGCCCAATGTTCAAAAGTTCTCTAAATGGAAAACAGAACTATTGATATTCAGAGCACTGAATTGTGGAATATGAGGAGAGCTCAGAAGCAGAATAGGTGATTGCTTCTGTAAGCATCTGCCTTAATACTGATTTGCTTGAAAAGTCTAAGGAAGAAATTGTAAATTTATGTGTAAAATTAAATCAGCATAATTCTGCTGAAGTCAGTGGAATTGTATATGCTAAGATCCATTCACTCACTTTAAAAAAATTTCAGTTTGCATTTATTATTTACTCTTAATTTCTTACTACTCTGAAAGAAAACAGACTTTAAATATGTCTATAATACATAGTTTACATCCACACCACAACTTTTTAAGGTAAAGATAATTAAAAAATGTCATTTGTTTAAAAAAAATCATAGATTGTGCATATATTCTTCATACTGGGTACCATAACACCTAATTTTTAAATCAGAACTAAGCTTTGCTGACAGCCAAGCCAGTGTGCACTCTTACTAAAGGAGGGGACAAGGAGAGGAAGGATGACAAAGCAGGACAGTAAAGCAGGTAAAAACTGTAGAAGTAAATGAAGTAGTTTATTAACTCATGAATTTACTTTTGAGTTGAGGTTTTGACCCTGCCTAGTCAAAAAAGCAAAGACCACCATTAATTCGTTAGTACAGCTGCAGTACTCAGAGTGTGTTCTGAAATGTGTTCTTCTGGGATTTTGCAAGAACACACCTTCAGAGGATTTTACCTTATTTTATAATAAAAAGTAACTTCCAAAGAATTAATTTGATATGCAGTAGAATTTCTGCAAAGTAAATGTTTGAACTGTATTTTCCTCCCTCCCTCTCCCATACCCTTTTTGCATATACATGGGTTTTATAAGTCTGGTATTTACACAGCCCAAGCCCCTTTGCAATAATCTGTGGTATTCACACAGCTAGTGAAAATCTGTTATCCCTGTATCAGCATGCACACGTGGGACTGTCCGCACAGAAGTTCTGAAAAATAAACTGTTCTTACTTGCATTAAACATGAGTTTAAGTCTCTTTTTTTCTTCTGCCTCTTCCAGCAGCTGCTGTTTCAGCAGGTCCTCGTGCACTTCCACGCAGGCATTGGAGTCCATGACAGATCCAAAATAGTCGATGTCCCTCTGGGCGTGCTCGACCCTCGTTAGCAAATTCTCCACTTCCCCCTTAAGCTCAGCTTTGTCGGAGCTCAGCCCTGCTAGGCGGGACAGCACCGCCTTGGAGAACTCCCGGAACTCATCCACGTATTCCAGCACGTCTTGGCTGCACTTCTCCAGCCTCTTCTTGAGTCAGAACACGGGAAGAGAACACATGGACAGACGTGGATATTCTGTGTACATCATGACCTCACTCATGATTACTTTCAGAGGCCTGCTGTTCCCTCCTTCCCAGTGCCCTGCTCCCACCTATTCCAGCCCAGGGGGCTCTTGCTGGGTGTCTGCGTCAGGAGAACATCTCAGACTGGCACAGTCTTCAAAAGTCTGGACAAAAATCCACATTTTTTTGATTTGACATGTATAGTTTCAGGACGACCCCAACACAGTGAATAAAGTGCTCTGACTCCATGATTCAGAAGACTGAACAATTTCTTTATTAAGCTATACTATATTACACTAATACTATGCTAAAGAGATACTATACTAAAGAATACTACACTATACTAAAGAAAACCCTGTGACTGTCTGCAGAGACAGCCAGGGCTTTGGCCCAATTGGCCAAGGAATCCAAACAGCCATCACCAGTGTCCAATTAACAAATCAATTTGGGTAAACAATCTCCATAAGACATTCCACATGTGCCAAACAACAGGAACAGTGGATAGAGATGAGAATTGTTTTCTCTTCTTCTCTCTGAGCTTCTCACTGCCTTCTTCAGGAAAAGTCCTTGGAGAGGCTGTGCCTGCTGCTCTCTGTGAAGAGAGCTGTGGCCACAGACGTGGTTACTGACAGCCAGATACTTTGTTTTGCTGCCTAAAGAAAGAAAAGTTCTCCGATGGAAGCAGCCAGAGATAACAAAGGGCTCATGATCTCTTGCTTTCCCTAAACTTTCTGGAACTCCTCCTGTACGACCGCTGGTGAAGCAATCTCAAAGAGTTTTCTGCAGGAAATCTATAGCTATGAACATTTCACACGGATACACCTCTTCTGACCAAGCCAAAATCTAGTGTGGCTACTTTTCACCCATTTATAGGTGAAAATAAAAAATAGTGAAAAGCTACAGTTGAGGAAAATCTCAAAGAGTTTTCTGCAGGAAATCTATAGCTATGAACATTTCACATGGATACACCTCTTCTGACCAAGCCAAAATCTAGTGTGGCTACTTTTCACCCATTTAAAGGTGAAAATAAAAATACTAAAATGCTACAGTTGAAGAAGTTTGGTGTTGTTTCTTTTTTTTTTTTGGTCTTTTTTTCTTCAAATTATCGGGTGTATTAAAAAAAACAAACAAACAAAAACAACCTAACACAACAACAAAAAACCAAAAAAACACAACCCAAACATAGAAAGCAAAAAAACCTATTTCTTTACAACTAAATTCAAATTATCAGTGTTTTCCAAGGTAAGTAATAAGTTTCTGTTGCAATGCAGCTGCTTCAAAGGTGTCCTGAAAATAGCAGCCCAGCTGCCACTTTGGGAAGATGAGGAATTTGAGCAGATCTTTGGTTGGTTTGCTTTGTGAGCTATGCTTTCTGTGCTACCTCCTCTCTCTCCCATTTATACAAGACCATAAATCCCCAGGAAGTTAGTTAATTGCTTTCTACAAAACCTGTATTTTAAATGCTTTCAAGTGCTGTCATCAGTATCTGCCTCACTCTCGGTCCTGTTCCTTTTGTGCCCCTTGCACCAAATGCCACAGGTTATCTCATTTTTAATGGGTGCCAAAGGAACAGAAATTGCCAGGGGAAGTTACTCCTAGAGTGGCAAAGAAAATGTAAATCTCCATCTACACAGTGGGAAGAGAATATCAGGTTAATCCTTCTGTGTTGAGAAGATAAGACTAATGAGGGCTCTGTACAAAAAGGGACTTCAAATCAAGCAAGTTAGAGCTTCTCTGTAAGTCTGAAAATGCAAGCCAGGAGCCAGGGACATGTCAATAACTAAAAATAAACAATATATCACCATAACACACCAATACTGAAGAGACATTTTGCAGTACTGGTAACTTTTTACTGTAGGAAAACAAAACAAGAACTGGTGCATTTATATAAGTGATTGAAATGAATTCAAGGAATTGAAAGGACTGCACTTGAGTCTCTCAGATATTAAGGGTCTATTTAAAGTGCAGGTACACTGCTGGTTTGCATGAATGTGTCTTAAACTACCCTTCCAGGTAGGGATATCTGCACACAGGAAAAACACCTGATAATTTTCTATCTCCTTGCTATTAAATACTTGACAGCACTTCTGCTGGTGGCAATATGTTCCTACAGCTCCTTAGGATGGTCTGTGACAGTTCTATATAAACATTTGCATTTTTAGCTAAATTCACGGATGTCATAAAAAAAATACAGATTATAACAGAATAAAAACATAACATTATGAAATTTTATCCTGCAACAAATTATGCGGTAAATTGGGATCATTACAGTTAAAGTTTTAGCAACGATTCTACTCATTCATTGGAAAAAGCTGGAAATTTACCCTCCTGATGTGATATATCATACAGACTGTCCTGGCCTCAGAGCATCCACACATTTTCAAACCTCTTTTGCTGCAGAAGGATTCATCAGGCACATACCTCCAGAGACAGAAAACGCTGGTCAATGTAGCTCAGCAGGGCTGCATCCTGCATCATGTACTGTGCTGCTCCCATGATGCTCATGAGGGATGGAATCAGCAAGAAATGCACTTGTAAGGCTACCATTGCACCAGAAAAATTTGGAGGAATGAAGTGAATCAGTTCTGTGGGCAATCCCAAATGCTGCCAGTCCAAGGTCAAATGCAATTTTCCATCATCTGAAGTGAAAAAATAATACCAAAAATTACTAAAAACACTGTGACTGAAAAGATTAAAAGGACTTAAAATGGCTGTTGCATTCTATCATTAAGGAAGCAACATTGGGGCAGAGGGACTGAACGTGTTTATTTCTAGGAGCCAGATGACTACTTCTCGGTTTGTGATCCTATGATCAATCCCAGATGTTCAGCACTGAGTCACATCGAGCCTGCAGGCCAAATTTTATTAAATACAAATAAAAGTAATTTATTTTACCCTCCTTTCTCCTCCCATCTGCTTTCCTGTGTGACCAATCCTACAGTGTATTCTCGGTGCAGGTCAGAGTAGATTCACAGTGGGTGGGACACAGGGAGGTCTGGTGCTTGATGTCTGTGCCTGTAAAACCATCTAAAACAACTCATTTCACTTCCACTATTCAGCCCATTTACAGTGGGACTGGAAACCAGACATAAAACTGTTTTTAAAAGACGTTTCTCCTCTTTTTTTTCTTGAAACTACTTTTTCCAGCTGAAAACAACACCCTTAACACAGCTGTGTCCATTTAGTAGAGTCTATGACAGACATCTTCTTTTGGAGTAATAATTCTACTTAGTCTGACTTAAAAATTAATTATAATTAACTTACATAAGCCTACTGCATTTGAGGCAATTTGTATTTATTTGATTTCATAATTTGCCTGACTGCATGCCTTGTTTGGAAAAACTCATGGCCATGCTCACACTATTTGCTAGAAAACCACATGTTAGGAGCTTAAAAAGCTCCCTTTGTATCTGAAGCCAAGCTGGACGCCTCTGTTTCTCAGAATTCTCCACCTCTTCACTTTTCCCCCCTCCCATTTTTCTTTTTCTACATTTTTTTTTTATTTTTCATCACATTTACCAAGCTTTCTTTTTCTTTTTAACTGCCTCATGTGTAAGCATGTGATGACTGCAGAATTCAAGAGTGAGCGTGTCACTGTGTCACAGCAGGCAGATTCTTTCCTCTGTATGTTTGATTTTTGCACGGTGGTTATGTGTGCTTTGCAGGCAAATTTTACCCAAGTGCACAGAGCAGTATTCTGTATTTTAGTACTGCTTTACCCCTAAGAGGGGCACACAATTTGCCAGCTCCTATTTGCAGGCACAGCCAGTGATGCACAGAGAGTTTAATATTTGATTTTTCAGTCCAGTGACATTTCACTTTACTTCAGAGCTCCTGCTTGAGGGGACAGAGAGCTTGCCCTGAGACACCTTGGGAAGTCTGAATTTCCTTGATTCTGTCCTATGACACCACATGCTGTTTTCTTTTCCACAAAATAATCAGCTGCAACACCAGGGAAGAACAACATAGAAAAAAAAATAATTCCTTTTCTAACCTCTGAGGTGAACCTGGAACCCTTCAGAGTTGATCTCTGAGTCTCATGTCTGTCCCAGGTAATGATTGGGAGATGAAAATTGTGGAATTCAAAATTACGAACTTCCTTTCATGAATGCATATTTCGAAGTCAAGATACAGATATATAATTTATTTCCTCTATCTTAAGACAGGGAAAATAATCTAAAAGGTAAAATATCTTGAACTGCTGTACACCCTTGATAAGCTTAAACATTCTGCAGATGGAGCTAGATTCTGTGAAGTTGCTCAATAATTTCTTAGAATCACCCACAGCTGAAAGACCAGAAGGATTCCTACAAATCCTAGAAATCCTTCCAAGGATTTCCACAAATGAGGCATTCCCATGTTTGTTAAACCAACAAATGGTAAATGGCAATGATGGTCCATGTCCAATGCACAATTCTAGGAAGGCATGCCACAGCACCTGGTTAAATCCTGAGCTTTGTTGGGTTTTTGCATTTATTTTGTTTTGGTTGTTGTATGTTTTCCACTTCTGTTCAGCCTAGATATACACAGAAATTTTTTTTCCAGCTATATATAATCTGTATAATAAACAAATATATCTGTCTATATCGAATCTGTATCTAGAACTAATCTATATTTATATGTATGTCTGATGGTGATTTAAAGCAGGATTGTTTGGCATGCCTGGGAAAACATTGGTCTCAGTGCACAGGACATTACACACTAACAGAGCAAGAAGTTTGCTTTTAACTCAAGGAACTCTTTTTCTCATGACCATTAATCATTTGATTTGACAGACCTCTCAAACCTTTAAAAAGAAACAAGTGTATAAATGTAGGTGAATATGCCTTTTCACTGTTCTTGTCTTCTCCCTGGCTGAGATGTTTTCCTTTTCTTGTCAATGCTGCTTCCTTGCTGCATTTATTCCACCTTTTTACCATTTGGTGTCTGTTTTAACAGCTGTTAGATATTTTCAAAGGAAAAATAGGCATTTTCAGCTCCATCTGTGTTTGTGGTTTTGATTTCAGATGCTGGATGGAGCTTTATGTGTTTTAAAAGCAGTGTTGAAATCAGTTCAGAGTCTGTACTTGATTTGGGGGAAGAATGACATTTCCTTAAGATATTGTTTCACTCATATGATTGCATTCTATGTGTTGCTGTTTTGGTTTTTTTATAAGTCAGTTTCTTTCTGTCATTTCAGGTGGGAGAACTAGAGAAGTGCCACAATAAATCAGGTTATTTTTCCTCCAGTGCCACTCTGGTTTCTCAGCTCCTCACAAGAATCACAAGACATTTTTAATTTTGAGCTTGGGGAACAACCCTGACTCCCAGGGCTCCCTCACCCTTTTTCCTTGGATTTTCTTTGGCTTTTTCCTTGGCTTTTCCTGAGACGTGGATGCTGTCCTAATGCCCTGCCCTGTGTTATTTCAGCCCCGAAAACAAGTGGGAAGTCCCCACTCCTGTCACTTAGTGCACAAATATTCTACTCCCAAACTACACACAGTCTTAAAACAAAGTTAATTATGTTTTTCATCTTTAATTAACCTCAGCATGCAAAGCAATAACAGATGAAAAGGAAAAATCAGAGTCTGATTCAGAGCTTTCTACTGATTTTATACACACCTGCATCAGAATAATTGCTGCTCACCCTGATGCATCAGTGATATCCCAGTGCTTGTGTGCTCATGTGGGATCTTGTTTGTTACTGCAACTTTGTTTAGTTTACAGCTGCCCATTTTGATAGATTTTGATACTGGTGAATCAGACTGATGTTTTATACTAGTAATATAGGGAGTGTCATGGTCTACTCCTGTATTTTCTAATTTTGTTGGGACTTGGGTCTGCAGAACCAAGTTCTTTGCTACTACTGGCCACTACTGAGATCTGGGAGGTTAGAAAATATCTTTGTCACAGTGGGAAATCAACCCTTCATTCCAGTTCTGCCACTGCATTTTGTTTTTCTATTTTTTCCCCTTCAGTTTTATACTTTAGAAAGTGACTCTTATTTCTGTAGAAAAGACCAACACACAAAGTCCAAGTGAAGTCCTTCTGTGGTGCTTGGCTGTAAAAGAAGTTCTGGGAGTGAGATCAGCCAGGAATGCAGCAATAAGGAGGAGGACTGGCAGGATTTTGGGACTCATAGAGGACTCCACTAGGCGGCTCCCAAGCCCTGGGAATTGCAAGGCAGACTCGGCTGGAACACACAATTCCAAAGGCTCTGAGGGAGATAGAACATGCCGAGGGAAGTGTGGTTTGGAGGTGTAGAACCCGGGAGGGAAAGTTCTTCCAGGCTTTAGGTCTGTGCCACCCCAAACAGGGAATGCCAGAGCTCCCTGGCACCAGCAGGAGCCCAGGATGCTCAGCACTTGCAGGAAAAATGAGTTGTCACATCAGGACTGTCTCTACAAATGAAATCATAAAAGGGAAATAAAGCTGTACTCTATTCATGTAGATTTATTGTTGCAGTTACTGTCCTGGTTTGAAAAGCCAGGTGTCTGCCAAGGAAGGCAGGAACCTCCCTTGAAATGGAAAATGCAAATCCCCTCCCTCCGAATTATTATAATTCTGAAATTAAGGGGCTCTCAGGAAAAGGTATGGGAATAGGAATAACAGTTTTTACTAGGAAAACTAAAAAGAAATACAAATGCAGTAGTACAAAAAGAAGAAAACCACTGCCAGAGTCAGAGCAGTCCCTGTCCCCTGTGTGTCAGGGTGGTGGCACAGTCCCATCCCATGGGGGCTCAGCCCTCCTGCAGTGCCAGCTGTGCTTCTGCTGGAGCAGGGATCCTGCACAAGGCTGCAGTTTTCCTCTGCAGCTCCAGGGCTGCTGGAGATGGGCCTGCTCTTCCTCTGGGAATGCAGGGCAGGAGAAAGCTGCTCCTCTGGGAATGCAGGGGGCAAAGGCTGCTGTGCTGTTCCAGGCTCAGATTGTATCCAGGTAGGAATGCTTGGCTCCTGCCCTGGGCGCAGCATCTCCCCATGGGATGCTGGAATTTGATCAGCCCTGCAGGGACACTCCCTGGCCATGGAGAGTAGAGATCTGCTGGAGGGAGGATTGGCTGTGGGAGAGATAAAGAGAAAACTGCCCCATGGACAGAGAGAACTGCCCAGCTCTGACAAAGGGGGACAGAACACACACCCCCAGACACATCCTGCATTTCTAACCCAAGACAGTTAATTAAATGGTAGAATAATGGAATATTTTGTGTTGGAAAGGACCTTTAAAGTTCACCTAGTGAACGCCCCTGTAATGAGCAGGGCCATCCTCAGGCAGAACAGGTTGCTCAGAGCCCTTTCTCAGCTGGCCTTGAGTGTTTCCAGGGATGGGGCCTCCCCCACTTCCCTGGGTAACCTGTGCCAGTGTTTCATCACCTTCAGCATAAAAAATTTATTTCCTGTATCTGTTCTGAATCTACCCTCTTTTAATTTAAAACCATTTTCCCTTGCCCTGTTGCTCCAGGCCCTACTGAAAAGCTTGTTCCCATTTTATCTATAAGTCCCCTATAACTACTAAAATAATCCAGAGAACTCCGTCTGGACATGGATCATGAAATAGTCTGGCATAAAAA